ATTCCTCCCAGGCTTCCTACCTGTCCTTGCTTCCACTGTAGGCTTCCTTTTTGTGTTTGAGTTTGTCCAGGAGCTCCTTGTTCATCCATGCAGGGCTCCTGGCGTTTTTGCCTGACTTCCTCTTTGTTGGGATGCATCGCTCCTGAGCTTGAAGGAGGTGATCCTTGAATATTACCCAGCTTTCTTGGGCCCCTCTTCCCTCCAGAGCTTTGTCCCATGGCACTCTACCAAGTAGATCCCTGAAGAGGCCAAAGTCTGCTCTCCTGAAGTCTATCTCCTGAAGATACTTTCTCAAATTGTTTAAAGAATACTTCTTCCTTTCCCTCACCCTGAATGGGTGGTCTGTAACAAACTCTCACCATGATGTCACCCTTACTGGACTCTCCTCTCATCCTGAACTGCAAGTTATCAACCAGACTGTCATCCATCCCATTGAAGAGCTCCATACATCTGAGCTGCTCCTTCACACAGAAGGCAACACTCCTTGCTTTCTCTGCCTATCTCTCCCGAGGAACTTGTATCTGTCCATCACAGCGCTTCTGTCATACAGTGCAGGCTGTCCCACCAAATCTCATTCATTCCAGTCCTGTCATAGTTTTGTGATTGCATGTGGAGTAAATTCTACTGCTAGTTTCCCAAGCTGTATGCATTTGTGTACATATTTACTCGAGGTGGGTGCTCCTATCTTATCTCTTGTTCTTGTCACCCTGCACCCTTTTCTTTTGACCTCATCCATCACCACCCCACTTAAATGTGGGTTGTAATCTCCCTCCTACATCACTCCTAAAGAACTCTTTTCATGTCCCCTTTTACAGCCAACATTGGAGATGCATCCAGCTCTTAAATTAAGAAGCCTACTTATGTGTATACCCTAATGTAAATCTGAAATCCTAATTAAGCTGCTATCAGTGAAGCTCTTGACATGTGTGATACCCTCAACATCACATATTCATAGCATGAGACTGATTAAAAAGAAGCATAAAGTTCAAGATCATAACCAGGATGCCTCTAAATCTTTCAGGTATATTATAGACAGTGTTATTCTACACTTCCAAATTAAATATCTTTGCATATGTTTTCCTTGAAAGTATTAATTTAAATCTATAGTCAGATACTCTTGTTATACTAAAAACTGTTATAACAGTTCCTATTTTTAGAAAGCTGTACCAGAGTGTTTGTACGCTGAATTCTACAAATATGTCATTCGGACCTTCCTAACAAAACATTATCTAAAACAAGAAAAGCCAGAAACACAGTAAATCAAGTGATTTAAAATGAAAATGCAATTTATTAAAGGGACAGGAATATAGAAGTTATTTTTTTTTTAACTTTAACTAAACTGAAATATTTTGTTTCAGAACATTTCTAATAAAGTCAAAGATCAGAAAGGCACACAAATTATTTCAAGCAGAAACAACAAAAGTTAGGTACTCAGAAGATCACCTTATAGCATCTGTATATTAAAAAAGATAGACATCTAACTGAAGATATTAAAAACTATGATCCTCCGCATTACATCTAAACCTTGTGCTCCATGCTCAAAAGAAAAAGCTTTCTCAAAACTGTTGATTTATTACCCAGGTCTCTCAAAATCTAACCCAGAAAGTCCTTCAAAATATTCTTAGTCTTCATTTTGCTTTTAATAATTTAAAATTCAATCATTATTGCATAGTGATTATATGCAATTTTACATCCCATTAACCCTGCTTTGTTTTAATTATAAAGATCCTTTGTTAGATTCCTTTAAATGATCCAGTTTATAATTTCAGGTTATCCTAGGGAGCACTTTAATTCAGCTGCACATTCATCAACTGTTTATGTCCTGTTAATTGTTGACAACTGCACAATTGCATTCTCTAGCTATGATTGATGAATTGCATTCACAAGTTTAGCTATTAAGCAGAATAAATATTTATAACAATTTCCAGTTAAAGGATTGTTATCTTTATACCCAAAAGGGTAAATTAAAAACGGATGGGCTGATTGCAAAGGAGAGCATTCTAGTAATTCACACACACTTGTTCTAAAACACCTTTCTGACAAAAGTATATGGAGAAACATGTGTCTAAGGGCAGTTTGATTAGACATTCCTTTGATTGGATTTAAGCAGCAGTTCTCAAATACTACTTCGTTTTGAAAAGTTATTGTTAGAGGGGAGTAGAGGGTCCACTGATATCTTAATACCCGACCACTAAAAATATGCAGATGTAGGATTTATTCAGAATGAGCATTTTATCAATAGAGAGCATGCAACAATATCTGAATCCACTTGCCTGGCTGAGAAAATAAAAAGGGTCAAAATGGGATTCTATACTACTATCTGAGAACATAAGCTTACTATAATTATTCAGTCTATTACCATGTAATATTTATAGTATAATGTGCAGTACATGACCCACTCAGGTGAGCCCTATTATGGTGCAGACTCATATTGCTGCTTCATAGCAAGAAGAATTTCCAATGAAAGGACTACGTTTCCAACTGCTATACTGCACTGCAACTTTGTGTGCGTTCAGAGGATTTACACCAACCAAAAATTGGGTATAAAGCTACATGCTCCTGTTTTCCAGGTACTAATGTTCCTATATTCCTATCTCTGATGTTTTCTAGTCTTCCTTTTAAATGAATGCATGATTTAACAACTGAAATATCAGCTAGACAAAAAATATCCTATAATAAAGATTTCATACTTTACTATTGGTAATGACACACTATTGGTGAAAAAAAGAAACCACACGTATAATGACAAAATCTCTTCAACAGGCGTATTTTGATATTTTTTTTCAACTGCACATATCAAGACATCTAGATTCAAATGGATTTAATGTACTGGCCAATACAAGTCTCACACATTACACAAGCGGCTTCATTTGTCTTTGGCATTCCATTACCAGGAAGGCCAAAGAGTCCCCCTTTGCTGCCCAGCTTGCTGGCTGGAAGTACTGACAAACGTTGCACAGAGTAGAAGATATAAACAGATACAGCATTAAAATTACTTGAGGTTTGATAATAAAGTATCTCAACAATTTGCAAAAGCAAGGCAGCTCTTATAAACATAATGTCCTGTGTGTTTTACAGGACCAGAAGAACTAGATAAAATAATTCCTTATGAACTGATAGTATAGAGAAGTGCATCTGTACAGTGAATGCTGTGCTCCTGAAACAGATGGAGCAGCAGATGGGTTTACAGATTGGGCTCCCTAGATTGTCTGGGTAAAACAACCTTGCTGCTCTGGAAAATGGTGGTTCAATTCTCAAATAAACCCAAACCTATATACAGTTCGTGGGAGCTCTATTTCCTTCTGTCAATAAACAAATTTTTCAGAATTTACACATTTTCAAATTAAATATTTACTATATAAATATCTAGACAATAAATCTCTTAATTAAAATGGCCTTTTCACAATATTTTTGGAACAGATGGTGAGGAAGTGTTATCACCCAATGGAATAAATGCAAAATGACTACTTGTTCAAAAGCTTTAAAATTAATTACCTTCCTTCATTGATGAGCTCAATAAATGCAAGTCCTGCATTCTTCTGAATAGAATTTTGCCATTCCTAAGAAGATAAAATATAACATGATCAAAACATGATCAAGGATTTTAAACCACATTTCTGAAGCTGACCCTGGTGACTTCCTAAGGGGCTTGAATTTAGGCTGAACTTCTTAATTTAATGGTTTTCTTTTTTTTTCTTTTTTTTTTCCCAAAGAAGAATGATCTGATCATTTAAAAACTGTAATTCATTCTGATTTTCAAATAAATTTTAGGTGGTCATGTTTTCGGTTTCACCCTTACGCAAACTTTAGTTTCCTTGTCTAGAGAACATGAAAACACATCTTGTTTCTCCATTTCATATAGTTGCCCAATGAACATATTAAGTGCAACAAAGCACGGCAGCAGTAGTTTCTTCACTTTGCTTCACTGTTACACCTTGTACATTTTATCATATAGGCCAGGCAATAATCTGTGTACCATCCATCCCTCCTTGAGTTCAATCTTTGTTTCGTCCCCATTATAAGTGAAAACAAAACCAGTCGCTAATAACAAACTGAGTTTTTAAAATTCTTTTACTATAAACATGGATTTCCAACATAAACTTTTGAAACTGATTTAAACCACTTAATAGATATTAAAAGATAACAACTTTTACTTCATATACCACTAAGTTAAAGAGAAAATTCTCAATGCATTACAAACAGCTTTTTGCCATACAGCTCACTGCCTATATCACACCAACAGACTTTTGATATTTGAGATGAAAAAAGGTCGAGATATCTCTCTAGCAAGTAAATATTACTTTCTTTTGGGATAATTCCTTAAACCTTTTCTTTAAGGGTAATAAACATTTCTTTTCATCATACAGAAAAAAAAAAAAAAATCAAGATACATTAGCTGGATTACAGTTCAGAGAGAAATTTTCTAGTCTGACACTTCATGTTATAAACAAAAATGGGTAGAGAGAGTTACAGTTACAGAACTATTCTGCTTTACAGTTCCTTTTTTCCAGGACTAAAAAATCAGGCAGAAATCCCCAATGCTTTTTTCCTGATATGGGCAAAAAAATAACTTTGCACAGATAAGTAAATTTTCTCAAATAATAGTTGTGAAAACTAGTCACTAATCAGCAAGGTGCTTCTTACTGATCTTATGAAAATTCACAGATTTGACCAAGTTATGCATCTCAAAAAAAGCCCAACAATAATAATCTTGTGCTCATGATTGGTTTTATAAGAGGCAAGCTACCAAAATACCCAAATAATGAACATACTTTTAACGTATTACTGAGCAGGTAAATCCTGATTAGGGAAGATGGAATATCAGCACTCAAGCCTCTAGCTTGTGGGCTAGAAAACCATTGTAACAGGTCCTTTTTTCAGTGCTGTTGATTTTGTTCTTTTCCAAATCCAGTAACTGAAGCAAGCCTAATGATCTAATTTTTGGAAGCAATTAAATCACCTTGGTATAGTACAAAGTCACTCTGAGAAACTAAGAAGGAAAGGATTCAATTGCCTAAACATAGGCACCTAGTGCCATTTTAAGAAACAATAGTCTGAGTTAGAGATAGTATTTGAGGTGTAGCATTATTGGTTTTTTTAATCAGAGCCTTTTACTGCACATTATAAAAAGCCCTATTAGCATTTTCTTTTGAGATGCTTTTCTGCACCACAGCTACTATGACTCTGCAGTCAGGAAAGCAGAACTGGTGTGACTACAATTCAGGAAAGAAGCTGAAAAGAGAGAAGACAAAAAAAAGAAAAGACAGCTAGAAGAAAGCATGCTAATTAAATTTCTAAAGAGAGACAGAGGGTCTACCTGTGTCTGCAAAAGACCAAGAGATTCTTGCAAGTCTTTAGTCAGGTCTTCCTGCTCAGTGAAAATGTCTCAGAAACTGCAGGACATCCAAAATGGCTAACTGGATTTTAGGTGAGATATCTACGGCACCTAAAAAGCCATTAGGTATCTATGTGGAAGCAAACAAATCTCTTCTTATGTCTCCATAGGTGGAAAATCTCATGCATTTATCCAAAGTAATTGTTCACAATAAAAATGTGTGAAACCGGTCCAACTATCTACCAAAAATTAGTGGAAAACATAATGATGCAGAACCACAAAGAAACCAGGATTCATGGTTCATGCATTGCTTCACCACAAACTCATTACTACAAACTTCACTACAAACTCCTAACCCTCCATTAATCCACAAATAATTATTACTACTATAATTTCCTCTCAGTTTTAGGCATAATTTAATATAACAGATTCATGATCCTGAGAGGTGAACTGTACTTGTGAAGAGGCACCTGGTTTTCTTTTTTTCAGTTTATTTTTAAAAGACCCGAACAATAAACCGAAATACTTAGAAGTGCCAGCATTACAGTTGCCTTTGTAACGGCCATTCAGATCACTGCATGCACTTTAAGAACTGGATTAAGATGTGGAGTTATACACTCAAAGAATGTGCAGCAATTTTGTTTACATTATCTCAGATTCCACAGAAAATCTTTCTCACCCTCAAGATGTAAGAAGCGGAAAGATAAACACCAAATGTAATGGATGCAGTGACGGTGGTTGGAAAATTTATGCTATAGGCAAGTAGAATCATAGCATAGACATTTGGTTATTAGCAGCTAAATGCTTGAATGACTACACTACATCTCAGGTGGTTTTGGTGTAGTTCATATCCTGAATCTTCTGGGCCTTAAAACAAGAGCTGGGAGACTTTTCTGTGCCTTAAAAATGCTGATGCCAATTACATGCTGAAGTAACGGAAGACTGACAAAATTGTGTACCAGAGAATTTCGTCTATACAAGAAGAATGCGTTGACCTTTCTTCCCTTGGGGCTCCTGCTTGATAGGGCAGCGGGGATGACTATTACTGCCAGCAGTGCACCTCTCGGAACAAGGTAGGGTATAGAAGTCTTGGGGATAGAGGCATATTTAGAGACTGTCTAACACAGACAGTGTTCAAGAATGATGACGCTTACCACTTCTCTGTACTAAAACCAGAATGAAGATATCAAATTTCATTTTAACTTTATTCATGTTGAAAGAAAGAAAAAAATTGTCTTCATACGCAATAGCTAAACATTGTAACTTTAGACATTCAGTTAAATTACTGTCCACTATGGCTATGTTCTAAATATTTTATACTATGCAAACTTCTATTGAAGACACCAAAAATGTACTAATAGGATACTGGTAGTTACCACCCCCCTGCCCCACCTAAGTTGTCCTCCTCCTCTATGCTGTTGTTGCTTAAAAAGCATCACTGCATCCAGAAAGCATCAGTACAGGTTCCCTGACAGAAGGTTCAGACTGAATCCTCTTATGAAACTGTCCATGCAGAGTTTTCATAATTTACATGAGAGCTCTCACCCTTTCCAATTTCTGCAAGGAAGTCTAAAATCGTGTCACAAGTTACAAGTTTCTCAAGAAACTGCAGTTACTGAATGGACAGATAACTGGTGTAGTAATCACCCTACAATTCTCCTTCCACTACAGGTGCTACTGTCTCAATCAGTTGTAGCTTCTTTGGAATTCTCTCTTCTCTGTGTCTTAAACTGAGTATTTTTTTTCTTTTTGTCATATTGAATATTTATTGAATTTTCTAGTCTAAGGTACTAATAACTCGGTTGACACCTCAATTCTTCAATCACTGTACTTTAATCATAACTTCTTGAGACAGATGAAATTCTATTACACTGACTCTCTTCTTTCTGGACCCTTGAATATGTTTGGAGAAAAGTCTTGTACAGAGCTGAACAGGTGCTACCTTTTATCAGGATAAGGAAGAGGAAATTTTATAAAAATGTGTTTGCAATTCACAACATACACGTAATTTAGCTTGGGTTTGTACTCCATGTTGTGAAGTTACCTTCTAAAATCACCAATAACTTGCTTTACTTCATTTAAGAGGAAAGATTCAAAGGTAATGTTACAAGATTGAAGGAAATGTTTATTTATGGCAGAAAACCATGTCCATTAAAAGTAGGTAAAAACAGAAAAACCAACTGATTTCAAGATACAGCCTCAATTTTTGATCAGATCGCTCATAAATTTTTGAGAAAATTATACAGTTTTTAAGATCATAGGACTGTCCCTACCATTCCTAGAACTGAGCTAAAGATATTGGAGTCTTAAAACCTTCCATTATTGTTTGGAATGAGAATCAGATCTAAGAATTCCAATTTTACTGCCTTTATCCTTCTCTCACACTCACATGTATACTGCTCATAGATGATAAATAAAATGTATTTTTGGTCTACTCTTTCAAGTAAATTTGGGATCAATTTTAGGATTTGATGATAGGTCATCCATTTTAAAAGCGACTATTTCCCACAATAAGGAAGTTGCAGAATGACTGACGACATCCTCCTGGAAGGCAAATCTGCAAGTATTGGAATACACTGGGCTTCTGGCCAAATCACAGAAAGGAAAAGAATGTGAAGCTTTCACAACACTATTTATGTGAATATGACTTTAACAATGCAGCAAAGGTAATAGGAAGTTTCAGATTTCACTTTCACAAGACTCATTTTTCCTTTATTTTCTTGACTTGGAGTAACATGTTAATTTTTCGCTTTCTTGGAAACACACAGACCCATTGCCCTTCTGGTCACCTGTGGTAATTGCCCAATTTATCTTGGAAATGAAGTCAAACTTTCCCAGAGGAACATTTCATTGATAACTTAGAAGAAAAGAGAAAAAAAAAATCCACAATTGCAAAAACATTTACATTATCCAAACAACACTAGGGAAATGGCCAAATTTATTTAGATGATACAATATTAACCTTAGTCACCTTGTAGAAATTCTGCATATCTTCTAGTGCAGACAGAAGATATGTGCTAGAAGATACATGCAACTCCATAACTTCTAGAGCTTCCTTCCTGACTGAAAAAATAGTTCTTCATTTAAGAGACACTAAAATTATTATTAACAACATGTGTTGCTACGTAGGCTATTAATCCTAAAAGCCAGTCCACTTATTACTCAACCAATCTTTGATGTTAGAGGTGGATAACTAATCTGAAGTCTTCCAAAATGCACCATTAA